GTGCTTTGATCATACTCTGATCATACACACCCCACACTAACTCTGCCCCTATCCACCACCACAACCTCTCCCTACTTCCTGTATTTTAAAAGTCTTTTTCTTAACTCTTCCACTTTCCCAAAAATTTTCAGAAACCAAAAAGTCTGTATGTAGTGGCTGAAGTAAAATTCTTTTGCAACATCTGAAAGAAGTTTTCTTTCTGTAAAGTTTAGTGGAGCCTCTACAAGTCACTGCATAGCCCACGGCTGCACATCTTTTATGAGAGACAAAAATGAACAAATGACTCTTCCTACAGCTGGCAAAGTCAGCATCCCTAAAGTCCACTATGCAGTGGGGAAGACTTTAAACTCTGGTGTTCTGTACAGTAAAGTAACTATAGCAACAACAATGTATTTCTAAGTGAGCAGAACAGAGGGAATCACTAGAAAAGAAGGGGAACAATAATTCACTAAATTGTTTTGCCACAAATACCTCACATTGTACATAAAAACACATTCAAACTAGGACCTACAATTGAAAACTCCTGTCCTGTAAAACTTATTACAAACCACATGAAAATACAAGCTATGTGGATACTCTAGAGAAAATCAAGTCAATGCTTGAGGATATGGGTATGCTAAATAAGCTTATTTGCTCAGTATATAATGTTTACACATTCAAAACATCACCCTATAGCCATAAATATGTAAAATGTGTAAAACATATTGCAATGTGGCTCAGCTGTGGAGGGTTCGTTGAGCATGCTATAGGCACCAGCACTGTACTAGCCAAGCATGGTGGTACATGTGACCCAGCTCTCAGGAGTTAGAATCAGGAGGCTCGGAAGTTCAAGCCCATCCTAGGAGCTAGAGAAAACCTGTCAAAAAAGCAAAGCAGAGAAGGGGAGGAACAAGCAGGTAAACGTAAGTCTACAGTTAAAATCAAAAGTTAAAAATGGCATTTAAAAGAACCATTTTGAAATAACAATGTTCCCGAAAGGTATTTGAATATTCTATTTCCTTCCAGAATACAGATCTAGACACAGTCTGACAAATGGAAGAACTCCTAACTCAATGGCTGGCATCTAGAAGCAGAAAGTTCATTCAAGTCTGAAGAAATACTGAAATCTCCTTAGGCTAACTATCTGTAAACCACATAAACTTCTCCAGTGCAAGCAATGGATTATGCCAAACACATTATTTTAGAATTTTAGTCTTTAGGTCAAAAGTATGAGAGCAAAGAGAGTTATGATTGAATCAAGGTTTTCACCATGATGCTCTGTTTTCAAAAAGCTGCACCCGGACTGGAGAGTTGGCTCAGTGATTAACACTGGCTCCTGATTCCATTCTCAGAACCCATACAGTGGCTCACAACTGTCTGTAATTCCAGTTACAGGGGATCCGGCAGCCTCTTCTGACCTCCTTGAGCACCAAATATGCATATGGTGCATGGACATCCATGCAAGCAAAATACCAGACACATAAAATAAAAATAAATAAACCTAAATTTAAAAAATTAACGCTGACTATCTTACTGACCATTTATCAAGAGAAAAAATAGGTGTTTTCAAGCTCCTTCCTCAACACGTTCACTATTCCTGAAGCAATCTCAGAACGATGCCTCAGTAAGAAATGTTGAGGGTTTATTTTGCTTCAAAATGGAATCCCAGATTCTTTGTGGAACTGTGAGACTTCACGTCTTCAGAAGAGATGGTACAAAGTGAGCCTGTCCTACAATGTAGTCACCAAAGGCCAGCTTCACTCATTTTACAAATTCCAAACAACTCTGTCTTGGTTTCAAGCAATTTAATCCATTCAGAGTGTTGCATCTACAAGTAATATAGTTTGGTATTGACACAACAACAAACAAACAGGCCAATGTAAAGAACACCAAAACACAGGTCAACCTATGTCTATAAAGTTGGTAGATGGGAGAAGTGGTAATGAAAATCAGTTGGAGGATGAATAATTCAATAAATTAATTTGGCACAAAAAGCCATATTTTTAAAAGATAAAATTACTTCCTTCCCCGACTATATATTTATATATTATGGAAAGGCAGACTATGTGGATACTCCAGAGAAAATGAAGTACATATGTGTTACATACAGTTCATTGTGTGCCAAGGAAAAGCACAAGTAACCAGCATCTTATAAAGAACACAACCACTGTGATTTGAACAACTAGAAATTTACATCACACTAAGTATAATTTGTGATGTTGTGTTAAAGGAGCAAGTTATAAAAGGTTTGCAAATGATGGTTATATAGAATTTTGATACAAAAACTATTACATCATAAATGCATAAAGGAGGCAGAAATGTAAAACACAGGTGGGGAGGAAAATACCAGTGTTTTGTGGTTTTTCAAGATAGGGTTTCTCTGCACAGCCTTTGCTATCCTGGAACTCACTCTGTAGACCACGCTGACCTTGAACTCAGAGCTCCACCTGCCTCTGCCTCTGAGTGCTGGGATTAAAAGTGTGCACCACCACTTTCAGCATGAGATGGACCACTTTTAAGACAGATGGGTTGTTGTGACTGTGAGAAGTAGTAATGATGCACTCACTCAAGGAAAGGGAGGAGCTTATCTTATCTAGAACTTTTGATTGCTAACAACATCTGGGAAGACAAAGCATGTGTCTTGGCCTCCGGCCTCTTTTTTCATTGATAGATATGATAGTAGTAGGAGCTAACTTTATAGAGTGCTTACTATAACAGATACCATGGTAAGCACTTGACGATGAATGTCTCTAACGGTCTTCACAACAGTCCCATGGCTAAGTTGTGAGAAAGCAAAGCCATCCAGTGTTCTCAAAGCATGGTCCCTGGGAGCTTGTGTGGAGGTTCTAGTAGGGAGTACAATTCCTAATACAGTCTTCACTAAAAAACAGTCTTCCTCTCTGCTGTGTCAGGAAGGTCTTGAGGAGGGAGGGACTAGAGGTCCTGCCCAGGCAGATCAACTGAATCAACCTTGGATCATCATCCTCACACCCAAACGGTGGTCCCTGCACCAGAAGATCAGAGTTACCTTAAAAAACACTGTAAATGCACATTCTTAGCTTCACCACAGACCTCTCAATCATAAATTCTGGAGCTTGAGAATTTTAGCATTTATTCCAGGAGAGTCAGATACATACACGCAATGCTTGTGAGCATGGTGACACCAGAAGTGAATTCCTTATCACAGAACTGAGAACTTATCAAAGTCCCCATGCTTGATTACTTAAGCACACCCCGTCCCCACTGTTCGGAGAAGGAAAGTCAGTTTCAGATCATTCTTACTTAAAACTCACCATGAAGAAGTATACAGTATCAATCTTTCTCCTTGGCTGGTAGTATTGGACCAAATAAGTAAATGTACTAAACTTGCCACCAGAGGGCGTCCCAATATCCTTTCCTAGAACAAGCCATGTGGAAACTACTACTTTGTAACTGCATTTTAAAATATATAAACTTTTAAAGGCCTTTGGAGAGTGATATACTATAGGGCTGGGTAAAGGCTGCTTCTAGACAACAAAGATGATTAAAGAAAAACCCAGTGCCAGGGGTGGGAGGCTTCCTTATGAGTCATTGGTCAATAAGGTTCCAGAGCCAATATCAAACACCATACAGGTTTTTGCCATTCCTCTTGGATTCCCCCAGAACTAGAGGATAAGATCTTACTGCCAAGGTTAGTTGCACAGTAGACAGAAATCAAGCTAGCACTGAGCTGGAAGATTTCTGTGTGCCAGTTAGCTGGATGTGATAGACATTTGCAACAGTACCCGAATAAAGCAAGCTTCTCTCCCGAATGCAGCACAGCTCCTTCAGCCAATCAAAGATCTGAATAGTCTAGTACTGAAACGCATGCTTGAGGAATACAGACAACCAGCTCCCACAGTAATATTCGCAGCATCAGCTTTTCCAGTTCTCAGGCCTTACACTTGGACTGGTGTTACACACTGGTTCTCCTGTGTCGCTTTTGAGCGGCAGATCTTGAGATTTCTCAGTCTCCATAATCACTTGAACCAACTCCTTTTAATGAATTTATATATTGTACTATACATATGTATACCCTGCTGATTATTTTCCTTTGGAGAACCCTGACTCATCCAAAACCAAATTCCAAATTCATTGGCATTAGCCAAAATCCTCTGCAGGACCTATCCCTTACCCACCCCTTCCATGACATCCCATAGCCGCCTCTACTCAGCCTCACTGGCTTCCTTCTACTTCTTCATACACAAGAAAATGCTTAGCCTTGGGGGTTTCGCTCATTCATTTATTCGCTGATGAATTCATCTCATCAATGAGTTCCTACCAAGGTCTAGCCGGGTGATAGTACTGGCAATGCAATGAAAACTAGTAGAATACGGTAGAAGACCAATTTCATGGAGAGTATTCTTCTCATGAAAAATCAAAATAGCATATTAACAGGTTCGTTTCAGAGAGTACCATGTACTTGAAGGGAAACATCATGGGAGATATCATAGGAACTTGGTAATCTAAAAAAAGAAAGCGGAAAGCTTCCTTCCCACCGCAAACACTTTTTAAAAGCATAATTATATCTATTTTAAGCATGGACCATCCATGTGAAGACCTGGAGAAGGAACATCCAGGCAGAGGGAATAACATGGGTAGGCACGAAATAAGACACAGCCCTAATAGAATGAGGATTTCAAGTCTGACTTTAAGAACAGTGAGAGCTTTGAGAAGTTGTGGTGATCTGATGTGCGTGTACACAGCCCACTGTGGACAGTGCCACCCCTGCTCAGGAGGTCCCGGGGTAAATAATAAGAAAGCCAACTGAGCAAACCAGTAAGCAATGCTCTTCTGTGGCTCTGTGGCCTCTGCTTCAGTCCCTACCTCCAGTTTCCAGCCTTGAGTTGCCCAATTAACTGTGACTTGCCATATGTCAGCCAAAGAAACCCTTTCCTCCCCAACTTGTTTCTCGTCATGATCTTATCACAGCAATAGATTTTCTCCTCTGCTTCTAGCGGCCCGGGAGGGCTAGAGAGCAGCACTGAAGTAGGATGCTCTGTGGTCCCCTCAGCCCCATGCCCTCTGGTCTCTCTTGCCCTGCTCTTGACCACCGGAGCGCGCGCCGCGTTGCCACGGAAACGCCGGGCAGGCGCGGCGGCGCGCACAGCGCGCTCTCGCCTCCCGGTAGAAGTGGCGGCGGCTCCTGTTCCCGCGCGCCCTGGCGCCCCGGAGCCGCGCTCGTTGGGCTCCCACCCCGGGTCTCCGGCGGGGAGCAGAGCAAGATGTTGAGGCGCAACCTGGAAGACCGGTAACCGCCCGGGGTCTCGTCCTGTAGGAGCCTGGTTCTGCAGGCTGCCCAAGGGAGAGGGTCGGGTGGGCGAGGGGAGCCGGGCCCAGGCTCGAAGCCGGCCGGGGCGGGAGGAGGCCGCACGGTCCCCGGAGCGTCCTGCAGCTCGGACCCCAGGCCTCAGCTAGTGCCAGGCCGAGAGAGGCTCCCGGCCGACCCATCCCACTGAGCTTGGCCGGGCCCCGCCGAGGTACAGAGCCTGGGAGGCCGCTGGGCCCGGGCCAGGGCTCACAGCTGCCGCCCCTTCGCGGCGGGCCCGACCGGGGCCTAATCCCGGGCCTGCACCGTCCTAGGGCAGGACCAGATCCTGAATGGGGTCCTAGAGAAGGACGGACCCCAGGACAGTTGGGGAGGTTGGGGTTCGGGATGCCTCGGGAATGTTTGCATATAAAATTAACGGGACATCATCTTAATTTTAAAAACAGTGTCTCCTTTTTCTAGAGATGCTCAAACAAAACAACTGCAGGATGCTGTCACCAATGTGGAGAAGCATTTTGGAGAGCTTTGCCAAATCTTTGCTGCTTATGTACGGAAAACTGCCAGGCTTAGAGACAAAGCCGACCTCCTGGTGAATGAAATCAACATGTATGCCTCTACCGAGACCCCACATTTAAAGCAGGGTCTGAAAAACTTTGCTGATGAGTTTGCCAAACTTCAAGATTACCGCCAAGCAGAGGTATGAAGTTCTGCCATGGTGACATTATTATAAGCCCAAGAAGCAATGTTTAGGGATTGTGGAGACTTTTCATTGTAACTTGTCTTAACAACAGCGAATGCACACTCGATGGAACATTTCCTGTCTGTGAGTCCACTATAGGGAAGCTTTCTATGAACTCATAGCTTTCAAACTAAACTTTGGGTGTTTCCCGATTCATTTGCCAACTTTGGTTACAGGGTGCAAGTGTCCAAAAAGGGTGGCAAATATAGCACTCCTAGGGAAGGAAAGCGTCTGCATGTCCTGGGTACATCAAGTGCGCTTTAAAGGATGACTAGAGATGGAAATACTGAAAATGACAAAATGAACAAATTCCTAATAAATGGCCAGCATAGTGCTGATAGTCCCTTGGTTTGAAAGTTGAACAATCCGAGAGCTGTGATTTATAAACAACAAGGTTGGCTATGTAGTTGCTTTGAGTGACCAGAGTCTTGCTCTCGTGGGCTCTTTCTTAAAAATCAAAAGCAATAACAACAAAAACCCACATGAGCACCTTCACATACTTCTTCTAAATGCTAGTTAACTTATAAAAGTTGCCACGTTTAAACTCCATTGCTCTTTTACTTTCTTAACAAGTGCCATTGTTCTTCTCCTTGTTTAAGGCCTAAAACAAATTTCAGTTACCAAAAATTTTTGAACTTATTTTGCATGCAAAATTTGAGTGCTAATCACTCTGGGATACTAAAAGGAAAATGTTGAGTTCTTGACATACATTTCTTCTATAACAAGCAATACTCAATTATACATGGTAACTGAAGATTTCGTATTTCAAAGGTAGTTTTTAATTCACAGATAATCCTAAGGTCCCAGTTTGCCAGTAATTTCCCCTTTCTAGAAAATTTTTATGCTACTTACCAAATAGCAAAGTGAATTGATTTGCATTTGCTCTGCTCTGTTTCCCTGCTTACCAAATGGTGGAGATGCTAATGAACATGACAAAGGTAGGCAAGGGAAAGAAGCCTCTAGAACAGGTGAATAATCCTCACCGTGTGTGTGTGTTACTGACAATGGTGTAAACTGTCCTGAGTATTCAGAACTCTGACTTTAGAATTCTGAATATTTAAATTACTGATGGGAACTTATTTTTTTTTTACATTTTACACTTCCTAAAACCTTTTAAAATCAAACATCCATATAGCATCACTTCCAGAAACCAAAGCATAAATATGAAATGAAATTTCATTGATTAGGTATGAGATGGAAAGGCATTGATTAGATAACCATGTATCATTTAAAAAAGCATTTTATTTGCCCACCCTGACAAAGTTACAGTGCCCCATCATTTTCTTGTGTATGTACTTGTAGAAAAGATATTTCTTCAGTTTCTTTTACTAGTGTTAGTAAGAGAATTACTAATATTTTTTGATAGAAATTTAAGTGAGTATGAGAAAGTGTTTAATTCTAGATAAAAAGAGATCAGCTGTACAGTTTGGCAGATCAGTGGTGCTAAGCCCACTTATCTTGTTCTCTAGATCAGATAAACATAAATGGCTGTCTAAAAACAATGCAGTTAATACAATAATCCCTAAGCTGTTTGATTTTGAGAGTCGTGTTTCTTTAATGTTCCTAGTAATACTGAATCTTTCAGATTCAGGTTTTCTGAAAAGTTGAGCTATAGGAATTAGGAGACAGTATCAGTAATATCTGGCAGTATCTGCTTGAACACATGATGAAAATGGTAGCTGTCCTAAAACTATAGATGTCTTAAAATGTCCTGGAAGCTGCAGCTGTAAGGTAAACACTGTGCTTATTCAAGGATGGGCTTATTCAAGGAAGAGCCAGGCACATTCCTGTCAGGCTGTGTTCCAGGTGCTTGTGACTGAGGCTGTTGCTGTGTGGTTTATATTTTAATGTTTGAGTGTAGATTCTGAGTATTAGCAATATCCGGATGATTACCCTTTATGAAAATGTCATGGGTATCATCTTAAAATTTCAAAAGTTTTATTCTACAGTATTTATTTCAGATTAAACAGTATTGATTTTATTTCAGTGTTTAAATTTTGATATTTCTATGTTTCTTTTCAGTTACATTTTATATAATTTTCAATAGGTTGAAAGACTTGAAGCCAAAGTAGTTGAACCTTTGAAAGCTTATGGAACCATTGTAAAAATGAAACGGGTAAGTAAATCCATTTTTAATCTTTCTAGTAGTCTGACAAGGTATGAGTTTTTTGTCTTTTTTATTACAAATACAAAATAACATGCAGTTATTTTTTCTACATATTTAGAAAAATTGCATCTTTAAAAATAAAAAAGCACATTTATCAAACTTGCTAAGTATTCTAATATTTTACTATAGCAGTAAAAATCATTATTATGGGAAAATTTAAAAATTATATAATAGATGTGTTTATATATTTTTGTTTTAAACCAGGTGACTTATATCTTTAAAATCTGACAAGCTTTTTTAAAATCAAATTGGAGTAAAATTTACATACACTAAAATTCTTATTTTTCAGTGTTTTTCATGAATATATATGCTCTTATAAACATCACCACAACCAAAATTATAGCCATGTTTGTATGATTTATTTTCCACTCATACTGTGTCTTCCTTTGAGAACACATCAGTGAAATACGTATTCCCATGTGCACATAGTACTCACAGTGCCTGGATAAACAAGATGCAGTCTTCCATTCTTAACATAAAGTGTTTGGTTCTTAAGTTAGAAAACTTACTAACAAGCCGGGCATTGGTGGTACACACCTTTAATCCCAGCACTTGGGAGGCAGAGGCAGGCGGATCTCTGTGAGTTCGAGGCCAGCCTGGTCTACAGAGTGAGTTCCAGGACAGCCTCCAAAACAATACAAAGAAACCCTGTCTTGAAAAACCAAAAAAAAAAAAAAAAAAAACCTTATTAACAAAAATGCTTGTTTACAGGATGACCTCAAAGCAACATTAACAGCAAGGAATCGAGAAGCCAAACAGTTATCGCAGTTAGAAAGGACACGCCAACGAAACCCATCTGATCGACACGTAATTGTATCCTTTGGATTTTAATCTTAAAATTTAAAAAAAAATTAGTTTTGTAAGGTACGCAGTACAAAAGTAAATGGAAATTATACATCTCTGGATCTAAGTGTATGGAGAATGCTCATGTTCACAATAGAAACTACCCAGCTTAACAGTAGTCACACTGCCTGACCCAGTCCCTTACAGTTTTCAGATAGGCTGTCGCCCATCCACCCAGCTTAACAGTAGTCACACTGCCTGACCCAGTCCCTTACAGTTTTCAGATAGGCTGTCGCCCATCCACTCAGAAATGTAAATGTTTTGCGGGTTTCTTGTCTCAGTGTCCTACAAAGATCTCAGCTATGGCTTCTGCTTCCCTACGCTTTCCTTTAAATAGTCTACAGAGATTCCCAGTTTTTAAATGACAATATCAGGGAAACAGAAGGGCAAAGATAAGATACAAAATAAAAGGCACAAGAACTGTATGTCACATACAATAATCCATAGGAATCAGCCTGAGTATTCTCAGAAAAAAAATTGATTGAACATCAAATAACCCACAGCAACTGTCTTCAGAGCAACTCTTCAAAGGGGCTCTACATTTGAATTTTCTGTTTAAAGAAAAAAGCCCAGGAATATACAGAAATGTTTATACTTTTAAATAATTTTTAATGTTAGGATTAAATTGAGAATCTTTGTTTTTTAAAAACTATATACGGTAAATATAAACAAATACAGATACAAATTCTTATACTTTTAAATGCTTAGTATCTTCAGAACTGTGAGACCAGTTCTATAAAGTTATATGATTTTATTTAAAAATGTTCAATTCTCTTTGAAATGTATTTTTCCTTTACAAAAATTTTCAGTCGCAGGTGGGCAATAAAATGGTGTGTCAAGAAATGGATCCTGAGAGTAAACCCTTTTACTTGTTTCAATTTGTAGATTCTTTTCAAAGAAAGCAATAGCTAAATGTCAGACTATTATTACATCTCAAAACTTTGATGACAAATGCCAATATATGATTTTAGAGAAAATATAATTTTAGTATAATGCACAAAACTATTAGGAATAATATAATCATAAATTGAGGTCTTTTTAATTGTTAATACTGCTTAACATTTAATGTGTGTGAGCAACTATTGTCCTAAAGGAAAAGATACTGAAAGAGAAATAACATGATTCAATTGGAATTTTCTACACTTAACAGTACCATTGCTACAGTGTGTGCCTGAATTCTTAATATGCAGCTAGAGTGACTTAGGAAACATTTTTTTAAAAAATCTCTGTAGCTGACTTTGATGATCCCCCATGGAAGGTCTTACCCTCCCAGGGAAGCAGGAAGGGGATGGGATGAGGGTAGGTGGGGGGTATGGGAGGATGGGAGGGAGAGGAAACTGGGATTGATACGTAAAATAAGATTGTTTCTCATTTAAATTAAAAAATGAATAGAATCTCTGTAGCTGCAAATTCACAAGTAAATAGCAATATTTAGATAGTAGCCATGATAATTTGCTTTACAACACAGATCTAGAAAGTATGGGTATGTTACCATGTATAAAGTAAAACATTAAAACTTGCCATTTAATATATCAATCACTTTATATACAACATATAATGACCATAAACCAAACCATAACAAGCAATGTTGTTAGCTTGTAAGAATCTGACTGATCTGATTAAGCTGAGCTTGATGGTACATGCCTGTAATCCCACCATTTGAAAGGTAAAAGGAGGATCAGAAGTTCAGGGTTGTCTTCCACCAGATAGTAAGCTTTTAGCCAGCACAGACCATGTTATATACATTCCAAAACTATGCAGATACAGATACTGATAGAGATATGGTGACACACACATGTAATCACAGCAGTCAAGAGGCAGAGGCTCCAACAAGACTGTTCAGAGGATCCTAGGACAGCCCAGGTTGTATAGGGAGACTCTAATGCATTTAGGGAACTCTGAAAAGGAAATAAAGATAAGACGTTTGAGTCTCACTAGCTTCAAGCACTTGTATGTTGTAATAATAAAAAATTTGGTTTTGCATAGTGAAAATTGTTGTAGCTGTAGGTCTTTTTACTGTGTGTTCTTAGTCCTTCACAAAGATTTATTTGGTTCATTTAATTTATAAAATAGTCTTGTGAGATAAGCTTTTACAGATATATAATGTGGGAGCATTGGGAATACTTGCAAATTGTAAGGCCTTCCTTTGGGGACGAGGGTGAAGGGCAGAGGAATTAGAAGTGATAGTGAGATGAATGGCACCAGCTGACATAGAGGGAGGCAGCAGGAACAGAAGGCACTTCTGCAGTAAATCAAGGGCTACACGGAAATGGAGCTGTAGAGACAGGGTTTTGTTTTGAGACTAAGTGTCACTTAACAAACTTAAAATTCTATATTATGCATACTTTCTAATAGAGTTCTTTCATTGTATATGGTAAAAGGTAAATGTTTACACTTTTAGGTCCTAAAACCTAACACTGAAATGATAACTTTTACCAAAAGATTCAACTACATGAATTCTGACTTAAATCTTTCCTTTTGTTGGGGGATTTACTTTTTAGGCAGAAACTGAATTACAGAGAGCCACAATTGATGCTACCCGAACAAGTCGTCATTTGGAGGAAACTATTGACAATTTTGAAAAGCAGAAAATAAAGGACATAAAGGTAATTAACCTAATACAGAATGTTTTCTAATGTTACTTAAAGTTAGGAAAGAAATAATGTACTGATTTTTAGCCCAGAGTCCTTAAGATAAAAAAATTATAGATCAAAATATATCAATTGTTATTATGAACATAATGATACAGGTTATATTCTTTTTGTTTTTTGTTTTTGTTTTACATTCTGACTGAAGTTTCTCCTCCTCCTTCTCCTCCTAGTCACTTCCCCCAACTCTCATACACTCCTCCATTCTTCTTCAAGAAAGAACAGGCTTCCCATGGATGTTTGTCAGCCATGGTATATCAAGTTGCAGTGAGACTAGGCACATTCTTTCCTATTAAGGCTGAAAGATAAGCCTAGTAGGAGTAATGGGTCCCCAAAACAGGCAACAGACTCAGAGACAGCCCGTGCTCCCACTGTTAGAGTTGTCTGAAGAGAGTCAAGCTACACAACTGCAACATAAATGCAGAGAGCCTAGGTTAGTCCCATGCAGGCTCCCTGGTTGTCAGTTCAGTCTCTGTGAGCCCAGGTTAGCTGATTCTGTGAGTTTTCTTGTGGTGTTCTTGACCCCTCTGGCTTCTGCAGTCCTTCTTCCTACTCTTCTGCAGGATTCTCTAAGCTCAGACTAATGTTTGGCTGTGGGACTACATCTGTTTTCATCAGTTACTAGGTGAAACCTCTCTGATGACAATTGGGCTAGGTACCAGTCTATGAATGTAGCAGAATAAGAGTCATTTCATTGACTTTTTTTTTTGTCCAGTTGTCTTTGGTTCTATCCTAGGTCTCTGGGCTATCAAGCCTCTGGGTCCTGGCCCTCCAGGCAGTGTCATGGATGGGCTCACTCTCATGGCAGGGTTCTAAAACTAGGCCAGTCATTGGCTACCCACTCCTACAATCTCTGCACCACCCTTACCCTAGCACATCCCATGGGCAGGACAGACTGTAGGTCGATGGCTATGTGACTGGGTTGGTATCGCAAACTCTCCACTGGAAGTCTTGCCTGGTCATAGGAAAGGCTGGTTCAGACTCCTTATCACCCATTGCTACAAGTTACCCCCATAGATTTCTGGGAGTTTCCATTGCACTAGGTTTCTAGCTTTTCCCAGTGATGTCTCCCCATTCCAGTTGTCTCTCCTGTTACTCTTTCCCTCTATCCTCCCCCACCTGTTCCTTCCTTCCTGTTCCTATCCCCACACCCCGTTGAGACCCCTCCCTCAAGCCACTTGCAATATTTACTCTATTTCCCCCTCATGGTGAGCTTTATGCTTCTGCCTTGAGCCTGGCTTATTACATAGCTTCTCCAAGTCTATGGATTGTTGCAGGGTTGTCCTTTACTTTATTGTTAACGTACACCTGTAGGTAAGTACATACCATGTTTGTCTTTCTAGGTCTGGGCTACATTACTCTATGAACATAGTTTAGCAATTGTCATTGTGATATGGTGCAATGTCCTTTGGGTATATGCCTAGGAGTGGGATAGCTGGGTCCTGATGTAGATCAATTACTAATTCTCTGAGAAACTGCCATATTGATTTACAAAGTGGCTGTACAAGTTTTCACTCCCACCAGCATTGGAGGAGTTTCCCTACTCCACATCCTCGAAAACATGAGCTGTTACTTATGTTAATGATCTTAGCCATTATGACAGGTGTGAGATGGAATCTCAAAGTAGTTTTAATTTGCATTTCTCTGATCACTAAGAATGCTGAATATTTCTTTAAGTGTTTGTTGGCCATTTGAGATTCCTCTGTTGAAAATTCTCTGTTTAGATCTGTACCCCATTTTTAAATTGGGTTATTTGGTTTGGTGATGTCTAGTTTCTTGAGTTCTTTGTATATTTTTTAGATCAGCCCTCTGTTAGATGTGGGGTTGAAGATCTTTTCCCACTATATAGACTGCTGTTTTGTCCATTAGATGGTATCCTTTGTCTTATGGAACATGTTCAGTTTCATGAGGTCCCATTTACTGTCAGTCTTAGTGTCTGTGCTATTGGTGTTCTGTTCTGGAAGTTGTCTCCTGTGCCAATGCATTCAAGGCTATTCCCCACTTTCTCTTCTATCAGGTTTAGTGTGTCTGGTTTTATATTGAAGTCTTTGATCCACTTGGACTTGAATTTTGTGAGGGGCAATAGATATGTATCTATTTGATTCTTCTACATGCCAACATCCAGTACCATTTGCTCAAGATGCTTCCTTTTTATATTTCTGGCTTCTTTATAAAAAAAATATCAGGTGTCCATAGATGCGTGTATTTATGTCTGGGTTTTCAATTTGACTCCATTGATCAACCTTTCTGTTTTATACCAATACCATGCAGCTTTTATTACTATGACTCTATAGCAGAACTTGAAGTCAGTGATGGTGATGCCTCCAGAAGTTCCTTTATTGTACAGGATTGTTTTGGCTATCCTATATTTTTGTTTTTCCATATGAAGCTGAGTATTGTTCTTTCAAGGTCTTTAAAGAATTGTGTTGGAATTGTTATGGGTATTGCATTGAATCTGTAGATTGCTTTTGATAAGATGATCGTTTTTCCTGTGTTAATCCTACCTTCCAAGAGCATGGGAGATCTTTTCATCTTCTTATATCCTCTTCAATTTCTTTCTTCTAAGACTTGAAGTTCTTGTCATATAGGTCTTGCTTGGTTAGAGTTACACCAAGATATATTATTTGTAGCTGTTGTGAAGGGTGTTGTTTGCCTGATTTCTTTCTCTTTATTGTTTGTATATGGGAGGGCTACTGATTTTTTTTTAGTTAATTTTGTATCCAGCCTCCTGCTGAAGGTGTTTATCATCTGTAGGAGTTCTCAGGTAGAATCTTTGGGGTCCCTTATGTATCATTTGCTAATATCAATATCTTGGCTTCTTCCTTTCCAATTTGTATCCCCTTGATCTCCTTTTGTTGTCTTATTGCTCTAGCTAGAACTTTGAGTACCATATTGAAGAGATAGGGAGAGGGTGGACAACCTGTGTTGTTTCTGATTTTAGTGGAATTGCTTTGAATTTATCTCCATTTAGTTTGATGTTTGCAGTCAGCCTGCTCTATATTGCTTTTATTATGCTTAGGTATGTCACTTGTATCATTGAGCTCTCCAATACTTTTATCATGAACCAGGTATTGGATTTTGTCAAAGACTTTTTCAGCATTTAATGAGATGATCGTGTGCTTTTTTTTTCCAGTTTATGTATATGGCGGATTACATTGATAGATTTTCATATCTTGAACCATCCCTGCATCTCTGGGATGAAGCCTACTTGGTCATAGTGGATGATCTTTTTGATGTGTTCTTGGATTTGGTTTGTGAGTATTTTATTTAGTATTTTTGCATCAATGTTCATGAGGGAAATTGATCTATAATTCTCTTTCTTTGTTCAGTCTTTGTGTGGTTTGGATATCAGGGTGACTGTAGCCTCATGAAATGAATTTGGCAATGTTCCTTCTGTTTCTGTTTTCTGGAATAATTTGAGGAGTATTGGTATTAGCTCTTTGAAGGTTTGGTAGAATTTTATGCTGAAACCTCTGGCCCTGGGGTTTTTGATTGGAAGACTTTTGGTGACTGCTTCTATTTTACTAGGAGTTTTAGGTCTTTTTATATGATCTGATATTAATTTAACTTTGGTAAGTAATATTTTTAGAGAAAACTGTCCATTTCTTTTATATTTTCCAATTTTGTGGAATACAGGTTTTTGAAGTAAGACCTAATGATTCTTTGGATTTCCTTGGTGTTTGTTGTTATGTCACCCTTTTCATTTCTGATTTTTTTTATAATTTTTTAATTGGGTATTCTCTCTGCCCTTTAGTTTGGATAATATTTGTCTATGTTGATTTTCTCAAAAGTACCAACTCCTTGTTTCATTGATATTTGTATTGTTCCCTTTGTTTCTATTTTATTAATTTCATCCCTGAGTTTAGTTATTCCCTGTCATCTAATCATTTGAGAGTATTTGTTTCCTTTTGTTCTAGAGCTTTCAGGTATATTTTAAGTTTATAGTATGAGATCTCTCTGATTTCTTTATGAAGGCACTTAGTGCTACGAACTTTCCTCTTAGCACCGCTTTCATTGTGTCCCATAGATTTGGGTTTGTTGCACATTAATTTTCATTGAATCCTAGGAAGTCTTTAGTTTCTTTATTTCTTCTTTGACTCAGTGGTGATTCAATAGAGAGTTGTCCAGTTTCATTGAGTTTGTAGGCTTTCTGTTGTTGTTGAAATCTAGCTTTAACCCATTATGATCTGGTAAGATATAGGAGGTTATTTCAATTATCTTGTGACCGAGTGTATGGTCAGTTTTGGGGAAGGTTCCATGAGGCGCTGAGAAGGCAATGTAATCTTTTGTTTGGGTGAAATGTTGTATAGATATCTATTAAGTTCATTTGAGTCATGTCTGTTAGTTTCAGTATTTCTTTTGTCTGTCTGGATAACCTGTCTGTTGGTGAGAATGAAGTATTGAAGTGTCCCAAAATTAGTATATGAAGGTTGATGTGTAATTTAAGCTTTAGTAATGTTTCTTTTACAAATATGACCCTTGCATTTGGCACATAGATGCTCAGAACTGAAACATCTTGGTGAATTTTCCTTTGGTGAGTATGAAATATCCTTCCCTATTTCTTTTATTTTTAGTTTGAAGTCTATTTTAATAGATAATAAATAGCTATACCAGCTTGCTTCTTGGGTCCATTTGCTTGGAAAATCTTTTTCTAACCCTTTACTCTGAGATGATGGCTATCTTTAATGTTGAGGTGTATTTCTTGTATGCAGCAAAATGATGGATCCTGTTTGTTCAATCCATTATGTTAGCCTGTGGCTTGTTTTGTTTTGTTTTTTTAAATTGGGGGATTGAGTTCATTGATATTGAGGGATATTAATGATCAATGATTGCTAATTCCTGTTATTTTGATGATGTTGGTAGTGGTGTATGTATGTGTGTGCAAGCACTTCACTTCTTCTGGTTTTGCTAGTGTGAAATTATTTATTTCCTATGATCTTGAATGTAATTAACCTCCT